CTCCTTTCCTGTAAATGCACAAGCCAAACAATTAATCTTCATTACTAGCTGATAGTTTTATTGTCACCGGGGACAGATGTTAGGCCTGAATACATTATTCTTGACCTGTGCCAGGTGAGTTTGTCAGTAAAGCAAACAGTGTAATTGCAGTATAAAATTCACAAGTGAGCAGCAATTATTGAGCTGTCCACTTATCATTGGTTAATAGCAGTCAATGCCATAGTGCACAATGGCTGCATGTGCAACGCTGTACACCCAATACAAAGCTGAGGTCAGAACACCAGATCTTTACAGGCTGTGATGGATGTGCAGTGCATACAAATACACGCAGTGGAATGCAGCTCTGAGCAACATATGTGATTATGAGTCGGCAGGAGTTTAAAGGCTGCTGGAGCCGTGAAAGTCTTCTGTTGCCTCTGTCAGTTTACCTTCACAGCTCTTCTGCTTATTCCTGAAATGGTCCATATGCTCCTGCACTCTACAGGTGAACAGCCACATGAGCAGAACTCATATTTATCATGCATGAGGATGTTCACGAATACGCTTTAACTTTCTAAGTAACTAGGACCTATTCACACTCATCTAAGAGAAGAGTGAGAATGAAGTCAGAGAGCAGAAATTTTAAATGCATTTTTCAGTTACAACTGCTATACATATCTGGCAACTACTTTGTGTTAATGAGAGCCATTGTCTTTTGTCCCACACAACTCACCTTCTGTTAAATGAATTTGATCGTTATACTTTATAAATCAGTTCTAGGAATTTAAATGTAGTGCCTCTAAAACAGATCTTTTTGTTTAGCCTGTAGTTTGTTATGATCAATCCTTCTGTCCCAGTGTTCTTAAAGAAATCCCTTCCAAGGTGACTCCAATGAAAGTGAAAGGGACCAAATCTGCAGTCCTTGTTCAGTGTAAAAATACACTGTAAAATTCAGATGCAGAGTCTAAGACAAATCAGGTGGCTATCTTCCAAACTTAGTCTTTTAGTATGCATTTCTCCCCTTATGGACACTAGACAGCTTTGTCTTTCTGAGAGATAATAACACACAGAAGGAATTTGATACTGAAGACAAGGACACCAGTCTGCTGAAGCTTCATATTAATTTGATATTAACTTATGCACAAATGGTTTTTGTACACCATTGCATACAATGAAACGGCATTAGGCAGCGATCAGTATGGACAGGAGAAACGATTTCAGTGTCCAATACCCCTTTTAATGCACATATAGATGTTAGATGTTGAGAAAATGTGAACTTACATTTTAAATTCACCACGATTCTTAGCTCTTTTTTGAATCACTTGCAATCAATACAACATGATTTCATGAAAGGCTTTAAGTTGCCTGGATTGTTGCTGAGCATTAGGAGTTGACAGCACATCAAAAACCTGCAGGTTAGTAGTTTGAAACTCAGCTTGAGACTCAGCTTTTTGTAACGTCAGGCAGTGAGAGCTACATGAAACCCATTAGAGAGAAACATTAGTGAGGATCTATGACATCAGTCCTGTGAATCAGATTGTATTAACTCTTATAGTAACATCATATTTCATGTGACTGGGTTTCAAACTCTTCCATAAACTCTTCCGTAAAATATGTAATGAAGCAACAGAATTACAATATAAGCAATGATGATGTTATTTTGTGCTGCTACATGCAGTACAAAGTAACAGCAGTTTGGTGCACCCAGGTCAGCGGGCGCAGATGTTTAACAGCCTCTTTAACAAAAGCATTCAAAGTTTTAGAAACGCTCCAGCTGCTGAATGTGACCGACCAGGTAACTAGCCGGATGGGGGGCGGAGGCAGGGGTTTGGAAAATCGGTGAAGTCATTTTGCACTCATTGTGCTCAAAAAGCCTCCCAGTGTTTCCATGGTAACAGGAAGCACTCTGCACTGGCGGCATATTCCTTGTGGAACCCAATGTTTCTGCTCATCTACAATTGATTTTTTTTTTTCCAATTGACTGTGCAGATCTCTGGCTGTGTTTGTTTGCTCACAATAAGTTGGCAGTGCAGAGTGAACAGACGAGGGGCAGAGAAAGACAGCAAAGGGACATAGAGATAAAGAGTGAGAGGGAAATGCTTTATGGCTTTAAGGTTATCATTGCTCAGACAGTAAGGTGGAACATCCTTCATCTGCTGCTGCTCTGTTTAATCTAGTAAAACCACATTCAAGGCCATGACTGTAAAGAGGGGGACAGAGAGTTCAAGACAATATTTCCATTCACAAATAAATATCTACTATGTATCATTAGCTCAGTGGCTCTTCATTCTCAATCTGTCAACAGGGATAACAGGCAAAAGCAGAGACAGAGTAGAAAGACAAAGAGGCTGATGAATGGTAATGACCCTGGTGGACTGTGGTTCTCAGAGGAAATGAGCTGTATCTTTTGCCTTCCTCCCAAGTCCCTTAATGTCTCATTAGCTGAGCTCAAAAAGTTGCGGAAACCCGCAAAACCTTTCACAGTGACAAACATGCTCCCAACCTGCACACATACACTCCTGGGTGACTCTCAGTATCAGGGCTAATGTCCATTTCAGTGGTGCCGAGAAAAGGCCAGGGACAGGTGGGTCATCTGTTTACACCAAAGGATGAGAGAGATAAACTCTAGTGATACTCTTCACCATCTATCATCTGCTTTGTAGACCAAGGACTTTGGAATACATAATGATATAGACATAAATCCCATCATAAAAACAAATACTGCTGGTCCTCTCTGTTTTCATTTTCATTTCATTTGGTTGCTATGGAAGTGCCGGGGGCAGATATGTTTAAAGTAATTTGGTCTAGAAAACATCCTGGATAGATTTAGCACATAGCCTGCAGAGGTGTATCCATTCTTTAGCAAAACAGAACTATTTGTGACAGCACTCAGACTGAAGGGGATGATGTGTGCACTCTGGAAAATGAGCATTTGTTTGGACTGGAAACAGTTGAGAAGTGAGGAGAATTACAGATGTGACCAAGTAGTCATATAATAGAATAAAGTAGTAATTGAGAATTAAATCTGAATTAAGAAGCCTCCTCCTTGTCTTGCACTCTTTTTCTAATAAAGCAGTGTTATTTCAGTTTCAATGTCATTAAAATCTGATTAGTCCAGTGCATCGAATCCCCCATCACAAAGTGGAGAAATGACGGAGGTCCAGCCTCACCTTAGTTTCCATCCTCTGCACTTTTGTACATTGTTTACCATTAGTTTTTCTCTCCTCAACCCTCCACTCACATCCAGTTCATCTGTTCTCATTTTTCTCCTCCACTGTCTCACTATCTTCTCCAGCAATCTGCCTTTTATTACCTGAAAGAGCCACATATGGTATGACGCAGCATCAGCCAGAAGCATTTAACTCATATAAATATTACATTTTCATGTGTAATTAAAGGCCACCTGTACATCCCAGAGGGCTGATGTCATGACAGATTGTTTTCAGTATAATTATGTTTTCAGTCAACACAAAAGTGGATTTATATTCTGACTGATTCTGCCTGTTTGGTTAAGATCCAAACCTAAATCATAAATGCATAAAAATGAGAAATGTCCAGCTTGTATGAAACCTTCTTTATAGTGAGCTGAGCTGAAAGATCCTGCATGAACATGACCTAGATTAAAGAAAGGAGAGTAGTGGGAGACATTAAACGTATCATCTATTAAAAGTAATTGTGCCTTTATCATTAGTTTTAGATGATGCTCACTATTATATAAAATCAGTAATAGGGCAGATGGCTCTACTGCACAAACCTTAAGCACATCAGCTTTATGCCAGCTGCTTGCTTTAGGAGATGAAGGGTGTTTTTTTAATTGTATATCTATTATTCTTCTCTTCTTATGGATATTGGGTGTTGCTGTATAAAAGAGGAATCGTGTGTTTGCAGCCTTTCTTTCCTTGCCATCCCCTCTCTCTGCTCGCTTTTTGAGCGCTAGAGCAACTTGCTGCGTGATTGGAGGCATTTTACGCACGAACGGCAGTTGAGCTGGCAGCGCTGTCAACACTGCACTCACATAGTCTCAGTGTGCACATACACACGCACAGAGAGAAAAAGAAAGAGAAGGAGCCATGCATACATCGTTATGTGATTATTACAACACATTATGTTTAACAAAGCAACAGGTTACGAGTCCTCTCTCTGAGTTACAGTCATGTTATTAAAGGGCAGTTTGATGATAAAATGTAAAAGGCCTAATCATGCACAACACAGCTGAGGCAGCACATCCACTCAGATCAGTTTTTGTGAGTACTTCGCTCCCTTACCTGACGATGATGTACATGACCAGCACGTTTCCAACCAACCCCACCACGCACACTATGGAATAGAGAGTGGTGATCACAATCGCTATGATCACCGGGTTGGCGTCGTCATCCAGGCTGCCGGTCGCTCCACGGTCCTCGTTGCATGGCGCCTCCGTGAAGCTCGTGGTGTTGTTGCTGTGGGCGAAGTTCTCGCAGAAGCTGCTGCTGTTGTAAAGAACGGGGAGCTGACTCCGGTAAACCGCGTCCGAGCCGTTGACTGCACTCTCCATGGTCCTCACTTGGTGTGTGCAGTTAGTGCTACGCGCGTCTTTCGCCCCCAGCCAGGTGCCGGTCGGCGGACTCGGAATGAGATGTCCCGCTGGGTGCTTGTCTATCGTACGCTTGGAGAAGCGTTGCGTTTCAGGTGCAGGTCGGACGGTACGTAGGGTGAAAACTGACCGTGTTGGAGAATGCGATTCCGTGAGGGTTAACGTCAGCCTGCGTGAGACTCCAGTTAGTGACGAACCTGGTGCGGCACAGCCAGCCTGCACGGGACAGGGGCGAAGGCATGAAAATGAATTAGTTCGTCCCCTTTCTTCCTCCCTCC